GGTCCTCTCAAATTTGCTGGGAACTATTGATCACTGCTCTCATAATGTCCTCTTGAACAGTAACGCGCGCATACGCACGAACGTGCGCACATTCAGCTGCTGTAAGTTCGTTGGAAGAACGGCGCGCAATACACACTGGTGGGAAACTGAGTGGGTTCAGTGGTTTCTGGGTAATTAAACTTTCATCGGCGAAATTGCTCTAACATCAACGAGCGTAACTCAAATATTAACGAAATGAAATTCTTCAGTGTAATTGCACTAATCAAATCATCTAAAGCACATAGATCATCAATGAGCATCTTATAGCTACCAGTTTCTTTCTTGGAGTTGTATAAGTGGTATGATAAAAAGCTATAAAAACTGTGATGGGATTCTAACCATAAGTGATAAAAAGGATAGAATGCAATTACAAATGGATGGAATAAATTTACAAACGGATACAATTAGATTGCAAATGGATATAATAAAATTACGAACAAGAAAGAATGAGTAGTGAGCAGCGGGACTGGACGGGTGTGTAGCAACAGAATCGTCCGGTGCTGCGCTGGTGGGCGTACCGCGACATCGTTGCGGGGAGAAGACGAACCATGCGTCCCGCCATTTGAATAGGGATATTAAAGGGACGGTAAAGATCGATATCGCCGAAGACCCAGTTCTCTGTACGGCTGCAGTTCAGTTTTTGTTTTTTCTTTGCTGTTTCCTTGTTTTTCTATGGTTTCTTCGTTTTTCTAGAGAGAATATTTGCACAGGGTCAGCATACCAGTGCCAGTGCTAGTTTTTGCTGTTGCAGATACTGCTTGCCTCATTAGGAATATTCGGGTGAGTATTCTACAATTTCATTACCTATTTATGTTGTGAAAACTTATTCTGAATTGCCGCGAACCTTTTCCTGTGACGATGCGTTCCTTCCGTCCGGGTTGTCCTTTTTTGATGACGAACAGAAGAATGAAGGCAATAGTGCAGTGCCTCCTCAAGAATGCCGTGAAGATAGCTGTAAGTTGTTAGTTGAAATTCCACGAATCGTATGAATTCCAATTGGTTTTGAACTTAATCTGTGACAGCAGCTCTATGCCCCCCCCCCTTGAAGTTTCAACTTTTATCAATGGGCTGTTTTCTGTTTGAAGTCAACAGTGCCGTGCAGTTTGAAGTTTCAGAGCTTAAAGTTGTGTGGCGCATAAGAATGGTACAGATGTGTCGTGGTTTTTGCTGGTTAGGCTGAAATGTTTGAATTCTATCGAGGTAATGTTTCAAGGCTGGCATTTTTTGCGAACCTTCTTAGCTTTCTGAATTCTGTAGCATGATCGGAAACTTGAGGGAATCATTTCTCATGCAGCATTATTATAGCATATTATTATTGCAGCTTTATTATACCGAGACATGAAGTTAAATATTTTCTGAACTGAGTTTAGTTTGAAAACTAATTTTTGCTGTGTACCTACGGTAATGCGAAAAAGCGGACATCCGAAGTTTTCTACTGCTTTTGTTGTTCATTGTTTTAATTATTCACATATCCATCTCGGGCGCGTATATATATATTAATAATTTCATATAGTGGTACTAGTGCTACAGTACACTTCCTTAGACAATGTCCTTTCATTATGAGAGTTGCTATTAGATTTTGTAAAGAATTTCTGGATCGCTGCATCTATGTGTTACCCATCATCGATCCGAGCGAAGGAGGCGGAGGAATAGTTGAAGCTCCAGACTGTGAGGCTGCGTGTGTTTTAGTTCTCAGAAAATAAATCTCGAATCATTCTTGGGTCTGTTTCTGGAACTATAGGCCAGTGATCTTGCACCGTAGTGGCAGTGACTACAGTTAGAACTTGCTCAGCTGTAGTGCGCTTTCGGTGCGTGCAAAGTGATCGTTTTTTGCCTTCTCCATTTTTGCTACTGCTCTCTCGAAAATGTTTGTTTGTTGATTCTCTGCATGAGTGTATTTTTTTTGCTTACATGTTTTTCATGATGATGCGTTCGCATTGTTCACGATGTCTATAATTTTGCTTTGAAGTGTGAAAGAAACCACCTTAAAGTAAAAGTTTTATGTTAATTTTATGATTGTACTATACAATTCTTATCACTTGTGGTCTTCTTCTTCTTATGAAGTCATGTGTTATCTTCTTCCCATGCAAGACACATTTGATTTCTTTCCATGCAAGACACGGGTATTCTTCTTCCCGAGCGGAACACTTGTAGTGAATATTCTTGTGCAGCTCCGAACCAGAAGCTTTTAACACAGCTTTACAGGGGGGGACATGTGTAAGTACTGTATAGAGACGTGCCTTCTAATAGGCCGTGTCTGTAATAGACCTGGACATCCTGCGACAATACGATGTGATTGTCGCGGTGCGGATGACGGCTCGGTTCTCTCGCAGTAAGGCCTTGAACCGCGACATCGCCGCTGCAATGCGACGATGGCGCAGAATGTCCTTTTTGTGAACCTTCTTTTCTTCGGGTCTTTTCTGGGATTGGTGTATTCTGTGTGAAACGGGGATCAACCAAATTAACTATTCTTCTCAGTCCTGACGACATCCTTGAAGTGTGCGGATGTCGCTAGTACGGGGGTGCTTGACGGCCAATAGAACAGATGTCAGCTTGAAAAGAAAAAAGAGTGGTGAATTTGCGCACATAGCTAGACTGCACCAACCTGTGAAAGGCCTCCGCTGCGTTAGTGGTGCGCAAATGCGTCTTATCCCACTTCTGCCATAAATCCCTGAAAGGACCCTCATACCAGTTATTGCGCAAATATACTAGGAATTCTGCACACTTTTCATACACACCAGGTTCCAAAGAAGCTGGTGGTCGGAAAAGTGCGGGGATTCTAGTGTGCAGGTGCTTCGGTAAGAAAGATTAAGCCCTTTTATAGTAGCCCACCACGACCGAGCCCGTGCACAGCTGGAGGGTCCTCTTACCTTCGGGCAACCCAAGCGCGTCCCTCTTTCTATTCCACGCCTGTGCCAAATGGAAAGCACACCCCTCGACGGACGCGCTTGGGAAGCGCCGCTTCGCTGCCTTTATAGCAGCTTGTTGGAAGTCGAGGAGGATCCGGGTGTCTTGAGGCCCTCCAGCTGCAACAATAGCGTCCTTCAGCCTTCCAAAGATTGTTTCATACACACGCTGGTTTTTCCTAAATGAGAGGATATAGCGTTCAATAGTAAAATATGCAGTAATCTGCACACCTTCCTGGTTCATGGCAAAAAGTAGTGGTACATCCACCGAGTTTACCAACACTCCATGGAT